TCTACAAGCTTTGCAAGTGGGAAAACCTGAAAAATCAACAGTGTATCAAATACTTGATCTCCCCACTGTATTTATTATTTATTTTTACTTGCCCATCGTTTCATGTTACTACATCATGTTGCAGCACAAAGTTCTTAAATTTTCTTTATCTTTCATGTTATAAACTCTTGTAGGTTTTTTTCTGGTTATTGTTCATTCTTGTGTAGAAATCAGTCGACTCGTAAAACTCAAACTRCTGAACAGAGCACCAAAGTAAAATTTAACGAGAGACTCTGAAATTATTGACAGCTGTTCTAAAGCTGCAGACAGTCAGTTTGTAATAATAATAATAATCTTGGGAACATTTATAAATGTTTAATCTGTGTCAGACCTACAGAGTGAGTGAGATGCTCAAAGTTTACATTCTGTTCAAAGAGAAGTGTGGGAATAAAAGCAGTCTGAATTTTCCATTCTCAACTAAAGCCTGTAAAACAATGAAAGAAAATAAATTAATTAACATGTTCGTTTACCTTTTTACGTGTTTGTACCAGATAGAACATACAACAATACAGTATATGAATGTTGAATGTAAAATGAGTTCATAAAACCACATCTGAGYGCTCGGTCTGAAGGCTCAGCCCCTCAATTCAGGAAGTCACTTCATTATAACATCATCTTCAGGACCTGACTCCACCTTTTTTATTGCCTCGTCATAAATGGCCAGCCTACGGCTAAGAGTCAGGTTTTCATACAGTTTTCCTGTTCTAATGAAAAATTAGAAGCACTCGGAGAGTGCAAACCTCCACCAAGACCAATTTCCCCATCCTGTAAGAGTTAATGCACAAAAGCAGAGATGGAAACACATTTGCCGAATAAGTTGTGACGTAGTGAACATTTAAGCAGCAGTATGCACGGGATTTCTTCCCGGTGAAGTCCAATACAAAAAAAAAAAGTCAGTCTGGTCACCCGACGTTATTCATGGTCAAACTGGTGTGGGATTAAGCTCCTAAGTTTCCATCAGTCACATTTCACCATGTAAAACGTCTGTTTTATCTCCTTGTATGAGTTTGTAATGGTTTGACTCTCTTTATAAAGTGCTTCCTGGCTCCCCCCGTCTCCAAACTTTGAGGCCCGGCAGCTCTCTGTTTACAAGCCTAGAGAAACTGTTTTCATTGGTTGTTTCAGAAATGTGGTGTGTTTGAGGAAATGGGAAAAATAGGTTTCATGGTGCGCACTTCCTGGTCACAAAACATTCTCTAAATGCGCACCAAATGTGTAAAATGCACACATTATGGCAAAAAATTATTCATCATTAAAT